GGGTTGAGGGGACTTATTGTAATAGGGGAAAAGGTGGTTAATGCATAGCCCGATAATGCCTGAAAAAGACTTGTAAATATTTCCACAGGTCAAGATATATGTGGGAGCGAGCCAAAGTTATGCAGTAAATGATTCACTTGTACGAGTCTTCAACGATGACAATTTTCTTCCAGTGCTGCAGTCATCACCAAGAAGCTCTGAAACTTTCAAATCGTACAGCCCAAGACAAGGATGGCAAATGCTCTCCATGTATCAGTCAGTTTACTGTGATGACCTTCTTAGTAATACAGATGTCATGGATGAGATATCTCACGCAGACCTCGTTGTTGGTGAATTCATTTACCTCTGTTCGACTTTAGTAGCTGATAAATTCTCACTTCCACATGTTCTGATAGCAGCTATCTCACTGGATTTTATCTCAGCATTCGCCTTCGGCTTACCCGCCCCACCTTCCTACATACCACAGTTTGGAGTTACTCTTTCAGACGAGCTAACATTTTCGGAAAGAGCCAGGAGTCTTTTTCAGTGGATTTTTCTGTATGTATCTTACATTTACGATCTCTGTCCCACTTTTGAGAAGATCAAGACAAAGCACAACATTACACCCGACAAGAGCATACAAGAAACACTTGGCACGGTTGATATGATAATCGGTCAAGCGAATTTCTTTATAGAGAAACCAAGGCCTCTTTATCCGAGTAAGTACCAACACTGTTTAATATGGGCACCTTTGTTTTTTCTAATTGCTGGTCAATAAAAACGTATTTTTATGTGCCTCATTCCCATAGGTCTGCGCGACGCGTGGAGATCAAATTTTTTTACGATGGTTATTTTTTGACTCGCGCGTCGGATTTCTCCGAAAAGAAGGAACTGCGTCTATTCTACTGAAAATCGGGTTCTCTAATTTCAGTAGCGGATCTAAGAGAGGGGCAAGCGGAGTCCACCCCCTCCCCTCTTATTTTGGGTAAAAAAAAAAAACACAAAACAATAAACGCAGGAAGAAGAAAAGCCGGCAGGTGAACACAAACAAACAAAAACGGGCCCCCCTTTGCTCAAGATCTATATCCGCCACTGAATTTGACAGTATGAGACAATGTTACGGTTGGTTGAATATTACTCCTAACTTTTTAAATTAAGATTAAGGTTTCAATGACTCTAAGCTAAAAAGAAAATGAAAGTTCACGGCATTGACATTTTTTAAGTCATCCATTTAAGAGCAAGCCCTCTCCAACGAGGTTGACCTCTTTAAAGTCATGAAATCTAAGAGAGTGTGCATGATTTTAGGTTTTTTTTTCAGCAAGCACATGTTATCGTGTAACATGTGCTTGCTGAAAAAAAGCAATCCAGCGGATAGGATAAGATTCAGGGCTTCGAAGAGAAAAAAAAAAAGATTCATAATCGATCATCTTCCTTATTTTTATCTGGTAAGATCTTCATTTCACTCTAGATACACGTGTTGTGGGTCCATTCCTTGCCAGCCCAGCCAAATCTCTTCCAGACGAGTTAGATCAGTTCGTGCAGAAGGCTGGAGACGAGGGGGTGATCTTGGTGTCGTTTGGCACAGTGGTTGGAGCAATGAGTGATTCATTACTGAAAATTATGGCTGAAACTTTCTCCAAACTACCACAGAAAATTATATGGAAACTCAAGCCCAGCGGTATGGTCGAGTAAATATAACGTAGTAATGAAAAAAGAAATTTAACACAGCCCTGATAAAAAGAAGAAACATTTAAGACTGAACGTCTAGTGAGCAAAAATCATGAGCACGTTGAACCAAAACTGAAATTTTTCCACAGACTGGCTGATTGGAGCTTCGTGGAAAACAGGGCCTTGTACAGGGTTAAATGTTGACTGTCCTCTTTAGGAAGAACCCACAACTTTATATAAGCAAGTAGAGAATTTGAATGAAAGAAACATCACATATCTGTAATGCTGAAAATTCAGAGGGCAATTGATTTCTTAAAGTATTTGAAAAAAGAAACTACCACCCTGGCCAAGACGCCTGATGGCACCTCCGAAAAACACATGCAATAAACGTTTAATATGAATGACATAAATATCGTATTGGTGCTACAACAGTTATAAAATTCTGATTGAAGACGGTTTCCTCCAAAGCGTCTTCAAACAATATTGACTACTGAAGGTAACGATAAACCGAGGATAAAATGAGTGGATGCCTAATGGAAATGACACTGTATTTCTGCGTACATTTTTTACATTCCTCTAGGATATGGTACATTTTTTTCGCATTCCTCCAGGATATCGTAGCTATTCATGATATTCTTTCTCAATTTTGTACCGTGGCCGGTATGGACAAATTACGTACGTTATTTACCCAAAACACATGCAAACATTAACTTAATAATTTGCGGACAAACTTAACAAAAAGCCAGCAAACTTAATAAAATGCACGCAAACTGTAAAAAACGCTAACAAACTTAATAAAGGACATGCAAACTTAACAAAATGCGTACAAACTTAATAATGGACATGCAAACTTAACAAAATACGTACAAACTTAATAATGGACATGCAAACTTAACAAATTTTGCAGATATTTCAAAACTCACCGTTAGTGACAACATCAAACTGTTGCCGTGGCTGCCCCAGAATGACATTCTTGGCCACCCCAAGACACGCCTATTTATAGCACACGCAGGACTGAATGGAGTGCTGGAATCAGCCTACCATGGTGTTCCTATGATATGTTCACCTTTCTTCGGAGATCAATCACGCAACGCTCAGGTTGCAAAGCAGGCTGGGTTTGCTGAGGTGGTAGATCTTGATGTCACATCTGCAGAGGAGTTCGTTAGTTTGATACAGAAGGTTTTAACAGATCCCAGGTTAGTATCTCACGACTAAAATACCATTCCATCACTTTTTCAAAACACTCCCTCATTATTGTAAACCGAATCCAGATGAGGTTAAATTAAATGTAAAAAGCTCCTTATCATAGTGAAGTTCACAGCGCACCATACCTTTGAACTTTGGTAACCTACCAAGCCGAGAAAATTTGGTCTGTCACGTGACTGTACGTTTGTTCATGCAAGGTGCTATATTAAATAAGGTTGATCAATTCTCGAGCTCGTCAGAGCAACATTTTCCCTTGGTCCATGAACGTGACAAAACGAAAGACCCTGGGAACGAGGGCGTACATACAACACTACAACACTCAATATCCCGACACAATTTAACTCATTATCAATATTACCGGTTGCATTTTTTAGCTATCGAGAGAAAGCACAACGAATATCAAAATCTGTGCAGCTGTTGCCGCGTTCACCCGTCAAGGAAGCTGCTGATTGGGTAGAATACACGCAGGTTCAAGGTGGTTTGCAGTTCCTAAGACCACGTGGCCTGGATCTGCCGTTTTATAAGCTCTTCCTCCTTGATGTTTTATTCGTGGTACTCTTAGTTTCAGTTGTTGTTTTATTGGTCATCATTCTGATGTTTCGATCTGTAATACGCTCTTTATCAAGGTCCTCAAGGAAAGAGAAGGTAAACTGAAACGAGATCGAGTTAGAAATCGGTTTTTATTCTGATTTGCATTACGACTTCTTGTAGTTCCTCTTGAACTATTCCCTAAATCAAATGATAGGTAAAATACATTTCAGTATGAGGTGAGATAATCTGTCATTAGTATTTCAGAGAGACCGTACATCTTAGATGACACGCGTTGATCTCTAGCCGACCACCATGTGAACACAGTACTAGTATACGTAGTACCAAACACATTTAAAACATAGCTGAAGTAAAGCGCGCTCTGATTGGTCAATTTAGTGTCTATCATTTGCCCATGGGTGTACGTTGCTGACGTGAGCCAATGCAAAGACT